CACCACTTAATGCCATAATGTAAATCTGGGTACTATGTTATCACATTGCTTTCAAATGGAAAATAAACAGAGCTATATTTACTCTTCAAAATAACGTAGAAGGAACGCAATATTCTGACTCTTAAACCCATTTCTGAAGTATCTGCAGAAACCCATCTGGATTAACAGTGTTAAGATAAACTAGCATGTATTTCACAAAACTTTTAAATAAAAACATTTAAAGCACTTATTTTTCCAAATCAAATTTGGACATGTTTATATTAAAACATTAGGATTAACAGAATTCAGTACTGAAATGTCATATCCCAGTGGATATCTATCATATTCTCCCACTGCTCCCCTCAGAGCCCATTCTCCATAAGATTTTTTATATAATTTCTTAGCAGCTACTCTTTTCTTTTATACTATGGTTGTAATTATGTTTACAATGTCTCTCTTTTCCTTACTAGACTGTGAGCATTAAGAGGGCAGGGATTCTGTTTTGTTTATACTTACAACTTCCCAGCCTATCACATCAAATATTAATAGAATGCAGCAAACTCACACAGTTAAACAAATGATAGAAACTTATTTCAGGCCTTCTGATTCTAAACCTAGGGCTTCTTTTCTTTTCATATTTCTTTTCTATACATATTTTATAGGGTAAGGCATGTACTTAAAATTACATATTTTACCACATGCATATTCCTTGAATGGCTTTCAATAGTCTTCATGGTTCATAAATATCCTGTATATAAAAAGATACTTCAATTTATGTATCATATTAATATTCTTCCTTACCATCCCCATTTTTAAAGATGATCTCATTGTTCTGAAAGAGTAACTCTGACATGATGTCTGGGTTCTCCCAATTCAACCACAGTGGCCTTTTGGCAGAGGACATAATTCGACACTCTTCAAGCCTTTAAAATAGTTAAAAACTTTACTAGGTACTTTAGCTTTGTTAATTTTTTTACTCTCAAATTTATTTTAAAATACATATACAGCACAGCTTTTTGAAGTGCTATACAAATTTAAAACTTTCTCCTTAACTTCATTTATGAATTCGTTTCTAAGGGAGTACAAGGAAAAATAAATATTAAGCTTAAACATTTCTTATATAATAACATGAGTTTTCAACAAATATAAGGACATATCATTAGTTTTACAGATATTATACTCCATTTCTTCCCCTATGATACCAGAAATTCTGGCCATTGAAAGTTTTAGGCTCTATTATTAAAGTAGTCAAAATCGTCTTGAACAAATGCAGTTCTGAACTGAAGAAATTTTACAACTCTTTGCAGGGTAGGAGAATGGGAGATGGAAGCACATATAATTGAACATGCTAATTATAATGGACATTTTCACTTTTCTCAAGAGTTTCTTCAAAAGGGCACTTGTTTAAATATATCAATACATTTCCAATAAAGTAGCTTACCTGAGATTTCCTAGCTGATGAGCAGGATTTAGAGGAGACAGAAAGCCCTGTAGAGCATCCATGAAATCTGGTCGCCGCATTTGCTCAACTAAAAACTTCATCTGTACCTGATAAATAAGCATAATTGTGGTTAGAAATTGATTGATTTCATAAAAAGTAAAACTAACTGCTAAACTTCTCAGTACTGTGCAGTCTTTGAATACAGACCCTGAATTGACTGTAGTCTAATTAGAAGGGTTTCTGTAACACAGAATAGCACAACTCAGGAAGAGGCAAGTGAGAACAAACTGTGAGAAGAACTCTGCGTGCTGACAGAGGGTGCGTTTTGGCTCTAAAGAAGGGCTTGGTCAGCTATGGTGGGTCAGCTGCCAATTTTGGAAATCAAGTTTGACTGACTGTATCCACTCCCATTCATTTAGGTATTGGCTGCTTTTGCACTGGTATAGTGCAGCTGAGTAGTTAAAACAGAGACCTCATGGTCTGTAACTTCTGAAATATTTACTATCTGCCCTTTTAAGAAAAAGTTTATTGGCCTTTTTTTTAGAGAAAAAACTAAGGAGATACCACGTTAGCTTAATAATCTTACTTCTTTCTACGTTTTCAGAAAGCATTATATACACTCTCTGTTGGGTAAAAATGGTCTAGTAAGGCTAAAATAAATTGTTGGGAAAAGGGCTTGTAAAAACATTTGTGATACTGCGTTTCATACTTAACTAAGGTTCCAGTACATAGCTGGAAAGAAACATGCCTTTTTAATAAATTCAAACCAGGCTGCTGAGCTATAATGAAATAACTGCCATTTTATCTTAGGAAACCTCCATCTATCAAAAATAAAGTATGAATAGGGAAAAAAGAAATTAGGAGGTAGGAATTAATTTTCATGTTGGAATTTTAGTAACAAAGTGTTTCTTAGTATGTATAAGTGAGTAGCTGGAAAATCCAGTCATTGTTGATTAGGGCAGCCCTAGCTCTATAAAGCATGTTTCTTTCACTGTCAACCCTAATGTGAGCATACTGCTTCCCACACTTTACCATTGTTATGATAAAAAAAAACTACTCAAAGTAACTGTTTTTGTTCCTGTGACCACATTTTCAGTCCCTTATCAACAATCCCATTTAAGGCAGTAGTGATTTGATGCATAGCTTTTGTGTTCCTAATTAATCTATGGTGTCACAGCCAACCTGTTATAAAAATTCCAGCTTCAAGAAATACTTACGTTTACAAATTTAACTAGTATCTACTTTCTTCTTTTCTTACCTGTTAACAATATAAGTATAAATTTGAAGTTCACTGAGCATCAGAAACAGTGCAATTATTTTCTAGTAAACTGTATCTGAACTTACATATCAGAACTTGAATAAGATCAATTCAGTCACACACTATATGACATTTAGATTAATACAGTACCTTTTAAAGTTTTTTTTCTTCAAGCAGTATTAATGAAGATGCTGGAAAAATTTATTCAGTACTGCTATCTTACATTCTCTGTCTTTTCAGGACTCACTAATAAACTGGTGGGTTTTTTTTCTTTAATTTCACTGGAGGTGAGGAATGATCTCATCTTTTTGTGTAGGATGTGGTAGATTGAATAAAGGATAAAGAGCAGGAGGTCATGAAAAATCCATTTTATATTCCTCAGTTACACTAAGGTCAACTCCAGATGACTAGAGGCTATGATACATTCACTGTGTGATTAAGAGTCCACTTTAAACTCAGAGATGTAAAAACTAATTTCTTTCTACTAATTTTCAGAGTCATTACTAAAAGATAACAAATGAAACTAAGGAAAAAATAATTTCAAAAGTTAGGGCTACATTGAAGAGAAAGGAAGGGAAAGAAGAGGTAACCAACATTTATTGGGCACCTCCCATGTTCTAGGTACTATAATAGGTGTTTCGCATGTTTTGTGTAATTTAATTCCAACAACAATCCTAGAAAGCATTATCCCTATTTTACAGGTAAGGAAAACAAACCTTAAAAGCTAAATAATGTGTCTAATATTATACAGCTGAGAAGCAGTGAAACTTGGATCCAAATCCTAACATGCTTGATTCTAAGGCCCATGATCTGCAATATATATATGGGGCTCTCAAGTAACTTTGCTCTATTTAAGACTCAAAAACAAACTAGATGCACATACCTTTTGTGTTTCATCCTTCTTCTCTTGTTTGAGAATGTCAGTTAAGTTAATGAGCTTTTCCATAGCCTCAACTTGCCTATTTAGATGTTTCAAATACATTCCACATGCACGACAGTAGGACTCCAAAAGCAGGCCAAACCTCTGGCTAACTGTTTTATTATGCATCTCAGATCTAAAAGAAATGTGCAAGATTAGGAGAGGAAAAAACGACCATATATATGGTCTTAAGTGACTATACATATAGAATCCATTTTAAGAAAATAAAACATTTTCTAAATCCAGTAAATGTTATAATCCTAACAATGAAATGATTTAAAATTTATTTAAAAACAAAACAATCAAGAGTTTCAGATAGTTCCTGGAAATAGAAATTTAATACACTAGCTTTTAGGTTTATTTCAACTACTTTTCATTTACTAATTTCAGCACAGAATACATAAACATGAAAAAAATGGAAATCAGACACAAAAACATTAAAATGAATAGGGGGGGAGTGAAGAGCTCCATGAATACTATTTGACTCTTCTGGCATGCATGTCCCTGTTCTATACTATTTCTAAATATAAGGCATTTTAAACCTAGCTTCTAAGATTCTAGTTTTGACTTATTTTAACGTTTATAAAATCATGTTAGTCATAAATCTGTTTCTAAATTTAGAAAAACATATATGGTTTATGACCTTTGAGTATTAGGTATATTCTACAAAATATTTTTATATCTTAATTAGCAATTAGTTTGTTTTCTAATAAGAAACTTGGAAATTTGTTATTATTGTTCTAAATTCCATGGTAAGATTTTTTTCTTTACTTTGGGTTATTTTAATCCACATATACAGTGAAACCAACTGTAAAATTAATCTAGCAAATTTTACTCTGTTTAAAGTAAAATTAAAATCTTTAATATATTTCAGGTCACACTCCTGTATAAAATTCAGTTTTGAATTTTACTGCTTTTTAGTGTTAAATAGCTGAGGGAAGCTCATCACTGGTACGACATACTTTCAGTATGGAGAACTCTTCTATGCAAATAAAAACAATAATATATGAGAAGCACATATTTATACATCTATTAAGAAAGCAAATAATATATATATCTAAATAATTTAATGGGATAATAATTTGACTTACTTTAAATGCCAAAAGAAAAAGTGCCCAATCCTTTGATTAGTCAATGCTTTCTTGAGTAAAAATCTCACAAGCAGGTTATCCAAATACTGTTCATATTTTAGGACCTATGTGATTAAAAACAAATGAAGGCTAGATTTAAAGAAAATTTTTAAAAAAGAAAGTAGATACTACTGGTAATAAAACTAATTTTTAAAAAAGCATAAAGCCAATTTATGTTTTTGGAAGTTGCATGGATTTGGAATAAAACATTAAATAATAAAACATTATTTTTCTATTTCACATTATTTTACCTGTACTAGCTGAATTAGGTACTGAGAAAGTTTGTCATCTGTTAAGTATTTTTCCAAGCATCGAACAGCAAAACCTCGAACCATAGGATCTGGGTAATTGCAGTCCAGAAGCTCCATAGCTTGTTCAGGTTTGATTGGAGGCCAATCTTTTACCAAGCAGTACATCTGTATATGAAAAAGACAATAAATTATATTTAAAAAGCAAAGATAACTGTGAATGAACCCTCTAAGACATTGTCTTAATTTATTTTAAAGTTAGTTTAGATGACATCCCACCCTTATGAATTCAGTGCTTAAAAATGTTCAGTTCTAATTAACTGTGTCAGTGGAAGTGGTGTGAACAGTATTTTTAGCCACTGTATTACCATTACTAATTAATTTAAAACATAGCCTATTTAATCTGTTTATGCAAACTTTTAAAGAAAAAACAATTTGAACCACATACCAATTTGTGCAAGTTATATAGTATCTCAAACATGCCTTTACCTGAGCTACTTCGTCTCTAGAATTCCATTTAACAGACAGAAGTAATTTGGGTAGAATTTCAGGGATAGTTACACAGTAATGTCTGTGTGGAAAAGACAAAACAAAACAAAACATTCTTATAAGTTACTTAAAATGACTAGATGTCTAAACTTTCAACTATGTTATCCCTTAAGAAGTTCCAGTTTTAAAACTTACCATTACTAACCTTCTTTAAAATCAAAAGAAAGCAGCATTTAACATTACAGTTGCATATATATATACACAGACACATATATATATACAGTTATAATGGCAAGGAAAACAAAAGGAAAATCCAAATGGAAGCCAGGTTTGTAGGAAAAATTATCAATTTATTTTATAGCACTCTTCATATATCTCCTTTTATTCACCTATTTATGCAACATGAACCATGAGAAGGGTCACCACTTCTACTGTTACTGGACAAAAATCTATGTTGTAATGGATTTTGTGTAGAAATGCACTGCAACTGCTTTATTTAAATAAACCATTGTATACTTACCAAGAAGTAGGATAATTTCTTCAGAAGTGAAAATAAGGCATTGCACTATTATTTTGAGGAAGTGTTAGGGGGGAAAAAAAATGGAAGGAACTCTTAAAAACTGAAGTATCTAGACCAACTAAATCATAACTAAACTGATCTAAAACTGTAGGGTATTTTTGTTGGATCTTGAATTTTACTAAACAAAAACTAAATCCTAAAAAAAGCCATATCAGGGATTTATAATTTAAAAAAAAGCCCTCAATGTACAAGGTTAGTATCAATGCAGCATGATTATCTAGAAATACTGAACTTTAGCCATAGCTTTAAAAAAGATAATATTTACAATAAAAAAATTCAAGTAAATTATGCTTTATTTACTCAAATAGGCATGGCAGAAACATGGCCAAAGTCAGTTCTTTCTCCTGTTAGAGGAGAAAAAACAGAGAATCTCTATTTTTAACACTTACCTATGGCTCCACAGAAAATCTTTCTCTTGCTCAGTGATTTCAGACAGTGGATCTCGGGTACAAATTGCTCGGAGCTGTTCTTTATCATTTTCTCTTAATTCATTGTCTCTAGCTAGTCTGTTACTCTGTAAGATAAAGTAGTATCTCATGTGATTTTCTTTGCCATATTCATGAGTGAATTACAAAAAAAAGAACACTGCCAATAAACTTTACATTGCTTATTAAATTGTTGTATAACAGTTTATTCTCTTTGCAAGACTTTATTTTTAGGGACAGGGAAGAATCAACCTAAGATGATATTTGTAGAACAGATACAGTAATTTACTTGGTTAATATTACTACCAACCACTGAACAGTAACTGCCAAGTTAGGGATAAGATCAGCCTGGGGCATTGGGGGGTAGTAGTGAATAATTTACTTCTCTTTCTGATGATGCCCCTTCCTAGTATTCCATTAACTAATCTGCTAATGTTTCTGGAATAAGAGAATAAGAAATAATAAAATAATGAAATAAAATGTAAATTCTTTCCTAATCTCTGCCTGAATACATCCTTATAATCACTGCAAGGCTTTCAAATTTAAAAAGTAAAAATAAGGGAAAAACGGAGAAGAAATGCCTCCATTAAAAATACTACATTGAGGTTGGAAACTAAAAACACCATAAATTTTGTTGTGATTCCAAGATTTCAAGTAATGTATTTATTTCTTTTAAATATAAATATGTTAATTGCATAACAAATAATTATGAATGTACACTACTGTATTATGTAAAACAAAGACATATCCTTTCGAATGAGTTATACATATTCCTAATGGCTAAAAATGAAAGACATGCATGCTACTTAGTTTTTATACATTGTTAATTTATCCAACAGGATAAAGAAATACTGCCTCACAGAGTCATTCAAAAAATATTTATTAAAACATGTACTGTGTGCCTTGTCTTGTCCTTATTGTTGGGATAAGATAGTAAAAGAACCTACATTAACAGGGCTTCCACTCTAATGGGAAATTAAATGAAGAAGAAAATTGCTGAAGAGTTGATATAAATACTCTGGGTGATGCTAACAGAGAATGACTGAGTAGCCACTTTAGACTGGGTGTTCAGAAATGGCCTCTGAAAGCAGTATTTAATTTGTGATTCAAATGACAAAGAACCATCTAAACTAAGATCAGGGAGGCAATGGTGGAAGTGATCCAAGGAGAGAATGAGTTTGGCGTGAAGAAGGAACAGGAAGGCAGCCAGCAAGCCTGAAACCCAGCAGATGAGGGAGAACAGTGATTGGAGGTAATGTTAAGCGCAAGTAAAATCTGCAGGACAGAGTACAAGGTTTTGATTTTATTTTTAGTGAAAGCTATTTAAAGGATGAATACTATGACTTGATCTATATTTCACAGAGAGTATTCTGGCTGCTCTGGGAGACCACATAGGAGGCTATTTGTAATAGTTCAGGTAAGAGATAATAAAACTTATTCATTAACTCAACAGGAAAAGTGTCATTACCAATTATCATCTGGGTCCAATGGACTCATATTCTTCTATATTATTCACTTACGTTTATTTGTTTAAATTTTTCATATAAAACAGTTTAAAGAACAATTATGAAAAACATTTGTGAAAACAATTAGACATTTTAATAAGAATTTAAACACAGTAAAATCAAATTTATAATCCAAAATGAGCAATATCCTTTGAATGTAACTAACTGCTTGCTCATCAACTTGCATGCATGAGCCTAAAACATATCCATCTTGTAAATACTGATTCCAGACTTCAAAAACATATCAAAAAAGTTCTAGCCTATCATTACTTCTGGTTTTTCTTATCATACTTGTATTGTCAAAATGCAATACTTTTGAAAACTTGGATGGCTAATTTTCTTGAAGAAGAGAGAACAGCCATCTTCTTTGTTTCATAATTATAAAACATTTCTCTTTTTATACTTATAGATGTCAATCAAAATAATCAATCCAAGGAGTTCTTAACTTTCTATACCACCTTTTCCTTCTAGTCACTTTTGTATACACCCTGCCTGCAGAATTTATATACCAGAAAGCATATCAAGTACATTTTGGTACACACCACCATAAAAGATGTAAAGAATTACCTCCAAAAGATGAGGTGTGGTCTAGGTTCTTATCAAAAGGTATGTGATGAAATCATTCCTGTTGAATGACTAACTGAATGTGAATACTCTATTTCCTTTTGTCCACGGAAATGAATTGTTCACAGATCATTTCTTGAGTTTAGAAAAAATTCATCTAGGATACTGTCATCTGGTATTTCACTTATATGATCAATTTCCCCATCATCATTACAGTCTGGAGTAGTGGTTCTCGACTGGGGTGATTTTGTTTCCTCTACCTCCCAGGACCCTCTGACATTGTCTGCAGACATTTTTTGATTGTTTCGACTTGGGGGTGGTGGTGCTACTGGTGGGTAGAGGCCAGGGATGCTGCCTGCCATCCTGTAGTGCAGAGAACTGTCCCTACAATAAAGAATTATTTGGCCCAAGATGTCAATAATGTTGAGGTTGAGATACTCTATACTATTACCTGTTTCTTTGCATTCATATTCTGATTTGTCTAATAACTGTGAAATATTTTCCTCTGTCAATTTTCTTCTCTTTGTCCTTATGAGTGGAAAGGGAAAAATTCTGAATTTACAACAGTGTTCAGTGAAAGCCTAAACAACAATAACAAAAACTACCAAGATGTTGTCTGCATACTTCTTATACCTCTGATAAGATAATGCAAGATATCGGGCAACATAATAGGAAGACTTAACAAAGATGTAATAGTGATGAGTTATTTTACTGTCAGATCATCCTTCTAGGCTATTCTATCCTTCTATATTTTCATATCACTTCCATAATTTTTAGAAGAGTTGGAAGTAATTAATGATACTGATGAAACAGTGAAATATTTTAAGATAAAGGAACACTAAGATCCCATAATGTATCTTACTTAGATTTATAAAGTTTTCAACAGACCCAATGGTAACTGAAAGACAGAATAAGGTTTATTCTATTATAAATAATTCTTTTTTCTTTGGAATAAATTTTTTTAAAGGTAAAAGCAATCACAAATATCAATTTTATGACTGAATTAGAACTGCTCAAAAAAAAATTCAAAAGCTAAAATTGGCTCCAACAGATCCTGATGGTAAGCTGAATTCAATGACCAAGTGTATGAATAAAATAGTAGATAATAAATGAGTTTTCAAGTGACTTGACTCTGGTAATTCAATTAGCTTATAAGAATAACTAATTGGACAGCACTACAGACATGTCACAAGAATGCTCATCAGCATTTCAAAATTGAGGAAATCCTGTTCAGTTATAACAGAATGGTTAAGAGTTAAGTGGCTCAATACTCATTAAACAGTGACTTTGGATAAATTATTTAAACTCCTAAAGCCCATTTCTTTATTGGTAAAATGGGGATTATAACAGTACCTATCCTCACACAGAGTGTTTATAAGATTAAATGAGGTAATAAGTGAAAAGTGATTGGTGTGGAATTTGGTACACAGTAAGCACTTGAAAATGTTAGCAATTACCATCAAGGAATTAAACTTACAGAACAGTGGCTACATTAACTTGAGAAAAGTTAATCGTAGTTTTAGTATCTGAAATAATTCAGTACTGATTTTAAATTAATTTGTACTTCCTCAAAATAGCCTCTACCTATCTTTGAAAGCACACAGGCAGGTGGTGGTTGTTATTAATACTATTTATTCAGTTTATAGACGGGATTGGTGACTCCTTACTGAGACTACAGCTGTAAACTAATAAAGTTCCTAAGTGCAGGCTTTTAGGCTGCCCCTGAGTGCCATTGTTACTGTTACTGGGGTAGGCATATTTCAGGACCTCTTGGCCCTACATTCATTGGTTGCTCTATCTATAACCTGCCACTAGGCCACGGAAAAAACAATTAATTTGAAAACCGGAGAAACAGACAACAAAGAACAAAAATATCCTCTTCTCTTAGCACTGGTACCTTTGCCCTTGAGAAATAAGGGACTGTTAATAGCTCTTGAACCCAGTTATACTGTGATTCCAAAGTAATGGCCAAGATCAGACAACTAGATCAATATTTAAACTCCATTTTACATATACTTTTTTACAGTATCTGGACTATGGTGGTAAAGCTATTTCCTCTGCTTCCAAGCTCAACTAACAACATATTTATACTCTGGTTTCAGCTTCAAGGTTACTATCTGAGAGAGGTCTTCCCTCAACCCAGTATATATTAGTCTTTCCTCCTCAACCCTTGTTAGTCATTCTTGGCACACTATTGTTTTTTCCTTCATGGTACTTAGCATGATTTATAATCTTACATTTCTGCTTTTACCAATTTGTTTATTTTCACCATCTTCCTACTGAAATGAAGTTCTCTTTAGGTCACAACTTTATTACCTAGTACATATCAAACATATATACAGTTAGCATTCACTAAATATTTGTTAAATGAACACAAGCTAGGGCTCTGAATAAACTAAAAGACAGAGCTGAAGTAAACATATTAGCACACAGAGAGCCTATGTAGCTATGTCAATATAATTAAAACACACTGAAAACTATATCCATCGATTGTGATTGATAACTTTAGAAAACTCAGTGATTCGCCTTACCAGTCCTGCATGGGAGTAACTAAATCCTGCTTCTCGGGATACAGACCAATTGGCATGCTCTTCAATCACTGACATATCTGGAAATTTTACCACACTGCTGAACCAGTCAAACTCCAACTCTAAGCATGGAGTTTCCTAAGAGATGGAATAAAAGTTATTTTATGTATATATATATAGTTCTTGACTATCATAAAAAAAGAAAAAAGAAAAATATTCTTATTCATGGTAATAAAAGGCTTACTTTATTTGGATTTGACCCAGTGACACCAATAGGGTTCAGCAAATCTTCTAATCCATGAGGTACTGGCCAAAGATTCAAAGCCATTTTTCCAGATACTAGAGTATCTGTGTAATCAAACAAGTTTATATTTCCCCAGGCTAATGGACAGTGTTCCTTAAAAAATAAACAGAAAAATAGTCACTATTCAGTCCATTAAATTATAAAATGCATTTTAAAAGATCTTTCTTCCCCATAAAGGAAAATTCAACAACTACCTTTATAAATGATATCTATAATAAGCCACATTTTTTTTGAAGTGTAAGTACTTTCCATTTTCCAACTGAAATTACATAAATTTTTCTTTAATTATAAATAGGGGATATGAATCAAAGCAAACAAGACATATTTGCATGTCATTATTTATCATGTTTCTGTGTAGTTATTTTGCATGCTTAAAAATCTGTATCAATATGAACTCAGGACATACTCATCATCAATTCCTGAAGCTCTCCCAAGGTACTCATTGATGAATTTGTTAAATTTATCCATTTCTTGATAAAAATTCAATTAGCAGTATAGTTAAGAGTTTTCAGAGAAGCTTAATTGTTCCTTTTGAAATACTTTACCTCTTTAGCACCCTTTCGGCCTTTAACAGAACAAATGGAAAGGCAAAGTCGAGCAGCACGAGGAAGATCGGGAATGTATATATCATAATTCAGCCATTCATTCCACCTATGTAACATTTTAAAGAAAAAAACAATTTACCAAAAAAAAGGCTTTATCAGGAGTATATAAACAACTCCTATAAATCAAGAAAAAGCTAAATCAAATGAAAGACAGGCCAGGGATTGGTGAATAGACAATTCAAGAGATCATATACAAATGGCCAGTAAACATGAAAAAGTAGTCAATATCATTTCTCATCCGGAAAATGCAAAATAAAATCTCATGAAGACTTCATTATACAAGAGGTTGGCTAAAACTACACAGACTGACAATACCAAGGGATGATAAGGATGTGTAGTAATGGGAAATCTCCTACACAGTTAGTGGAGGTGAAATTTGTAAATACAATTTGGAAAGCTTAAGCTACTAAAACTAATCACAACTCAGTTCCACCTCCAGGTAAGAAATCACAGAAATGTGTGCATTTGTGCACAGAATGTTAACAGAATTATTTACAATATGCCCCAAGGTGCAAACAATCCAAATGAACACTAGTTACTGACAATATGGGTGAAATCCTACAAACATAATGCTGAGCAAAAGAAGCTAGACACAAAAGAATATCTACTCCTTGAGTCCATTTATATAAAATTCAAAAACAGCTAATACTAAGCAATAGTGTTACAAGTTCAATAACAGTTACCTTTGGAAGGAGAGAAAGTTAATGGATTGGAAGGGGGTATGAGGAGGGGCCTTTGGAATGCTAGTAGATGTTCTGTTTCTTGACCAGTGGAATGGTTATACGGGAATTTCCTTTGTGATAATTCAATGAACTGTGCAATTATGATTTGTATACTCATGCATTTGTGCTATACTTCAGTAAAAAATTTAAAAAAAGAATTAAAAACAAATGATCTTATAGAAAAGGGAAACTAAACATGATAAAATGAGATTTCCCATTATTATTATATTACCTTTCATATATGTAGTTTTATTCAGAAGAACCCATTAATTTAAATAAGTTAGTATGTGAATAAAATGAAGGATATGCAGGCATGAAGCATCTGATTTTTTAAATAACTATTTCACAAGAGGTAATACAACCTGACACTCATAATAAGGAAATACTAAAAAGTTACTACAAAATGTGATGATAAGAAAATTATTCAATTTTTATGATAAATTCCTTTTAATTTACTGGACGTTACATCTGAAATTATGTCTATGTTTGGTGGACATGTTCATGAAGAGCCAAGTACAATCCACAGCAGTTTTTTTATTTAAACATTAAACCAAATGGTTAAGAGTTTAGATTCGGAAGTCAGACAACCTGGAGTATAATCTCATTTCTACTATTTTACTAGATGTGTTTTTTTTACTAGATTAAAATTTTACTAGATTTTACTAGACCCTCACATTCTTTGTCTGCTTTCTCCTCTGACGATGGGATGACTAACAGTAGCTACTCTCATAAAGGTCTTGTGAAGATTAAATGAGATAATATAAGAACAGTAATTAGTCCATGGTAAAAGCTCAAGTGCTAGGTATTAGAAAACTTCCAAATGCTTCTTCTATTTTTTTTATTATAAATAAAACATGACTTAACAACAAAATGATATAACATTTCTATTTTTAATCAGCTACAGTATAAAACTTTATCAGTAAAATTAATTTATTCTAGTATCTTTGAGTATGGACAAAGATATCCAATTTTACAGAGAAGACAAATTTAAAATGGGAGGACTTAGCAAGAAGACATTCTAAAGGGAAAAGGAACAATAAAGGGAGAAGAAATATTGTGGGGTTTGGTAAGTCCACAGTAACTTAAGAAAAAATTAAGTACAGATGTACTTACACTAACACTTTTTACTACTTCTAAATCTTTAGAATTGCTCATAATTAATGGGAAATATTCTATGCACTTTCTAAGAGAGCTATGCCTTGTGAATATAGTTGGTCAGTAGTATGCTAACTGAATAAAACATGTTTCCCTCTTCTTCTGAAGTTCACACATACCAATTAAGTTCTTTATTTTTAGGCAATGATTTTATATACACAGCCCAAATTGATTCTGATTTTAGGAGATAATGGTAACATTTATGAAAAACGTAAAGTATTTTGTTTTTCTAGCATATGGGAAGCACAGATTTGGAACAATCACTTAATCTTAGTAAGAATTAAAAAATTTATGTTTCTACCTTTCTGATAACTCCATCTTTTTTCCTCTGAGTTTTTTTGGGTAAATACAGAAAAGTAAAAAAATTTTCTTAAATCCTCATACTACTATCATAGGGATTTTCCTGATTAGTCTAGAGAATTTTTAAAGAAAAGATAATTGAATATAAGTCCTTTCTAAATAGTTACTTTACTAAAATTTTGACATTTTAATTTTTTATTATTAAGTAACTTTACCTTTTACTTTTATAAAGCTAGTTTACTTTCAGTACTTGAAACAACCAGGATATATATATATACCCAATATTACTTTGGGGTCTTTGCTTGGGACTTAATCTTAGACTGTTGGTTTTACAGTTTTCAAATTTGGAAAATTTTTGGCCCTTAGGTCTTCATATATTGTCTTTTTGTTCTTCACACAACCACCCCACCCATCCTGTGACAGACATGCAGCATGAGTGGGAAATAAACTTTTGCTGCTCTATCAAAAATTTTAAAAGATAGTGGGGCTGATTGTTGCCATAGAGCAACGTCTAACCTGAATGATGTACTTCCTGCCCTACTGGTTCAGGTAGGGTAAGGAACTATTCCCTTCCTCCTGGCATGGAAGGCTGCCACCCCCGAACTTCACCAAGGCCCCAGAATGGTAGGTGCCTCCAGCAACTTAATTACAAGACCGGAACTTTTTCTTGACTCTCCTACAACTCAGTATAAATGCATTATGAAGTTTAATTCTGGAGGACTCACTAGTTAGCTCTATTGCTAATTCACAAGATCCCCCCTTAAATCTTTCATACCAATTTGAGGTCTCCTAAATATTACTATTATATTCAAGGGTAGACTCTTATTCCCAAAGGATTCTATAGAGGGAGGGAAAGAAATGGCAGGATGCTAAGCTGTTGGGTTACACTATCTTCTATTTCTTCATTCTATCTAGGCAGTAATAATTTAAAATGTTCCCTAAAACTCCCCCTCCCTAAGAAATTGATTTGTTCCCAAAGACTCTTTATTTGAATGTCATAAGTATCTATTCTTAGAAGTGATATGAAGGAAACTGCCTCAAGTAGTCCAGCTCTGGAGTTGTTTACCAAATGTCACTTCCTCTTAATGTAAATGGAGTTAAGAAAAGAATAAAATGCTAGGTTTATGGATCTAATGTGGGAAATCATCAGCACAAAATTGTAACCATATTCTGCTCTTGATACAATGGGAAGAGAGAATCAGAAAACCCTTCAGATAAAATTTTACATAGAATCAAAAAAGTGATCCTGTGATTGATACTTATTTGACAGAAAGTCCTCATGTTCTATATATAAATGTCTGGTAATATATGACTTGTATTTAACTAATTATGTAAAAATACTACTTTTATTGATCATATTACTAAACACTAGTATGACTTTTGGGACTACAAATCTGTATTACTTCCTTACCTGGGATTGGAACAAGGTACTCTTTGAGTGTTCACATTATCACATAAGGGTTCTCCTCCATGGTAGATACCCGTTCGAACATAGATCTTAAAAAAAAGAAACAAAAATATGTGCATACAAATATATACACACATATAGATCCAATACTGAACAATATCAGAATAATGTAACTGATACTGAATGAGAGAATCCACTAAAAGTTTCTGTTCAGATGTTGCTTTTCCTTTCTTCACATAGATAGTAAGTTAATACTGACTTAGATTCTTCACCAAAATTTATTGCTGCCCTTGGGGGGGCATCAAAGAAACTGAAAATCATATAGGGTCTCAATCCTCTTGACCAGATATACAATTCAGAGTTTTTCATATTTTAGAAAGATAAATTTGTATATATATTAAATATTATTTAGTTTTAGTAACTGGGAACACCATTCCAAAAAGATATTAATACTTCTACAACAAAACACATGAATGTTTACACTAAGTGGAATAAATAAAGACTGTAAAAATCCTTGCTTAAGATCAGGTCAGGTTTGCAGTCAAATGAATTCTGTAAAACTTTTGGTTTTAAGAGCTTAGAATTCCAGATATTAGAATTATTAGACTATTAGGATTAGGGATATTATAATTACAGACAGAAGACTATAAACTGTGTAGTAGCTGAGGTAGGTGGGTAGTTTTCTGGCCAAATGAAAACAGAATGTAGGTCAAAAGATTATTTTAGTTCAATAAAAAAGGTTAATATAAAATAATTTATATAAAATAATAAGCATCAATACTTGACTTTACCTTGTCTATGTCTCGAATATTTACATTTACATAGGTTGCACAGAGAATTTTTATTCTGAGTGCACTATTTATAACCCAAAGGGATTTTGTAGATGTTTCTCCATTCATGTATGGTGTAGCTGTGGAGATGCGTCTGGAATAAGATGGCATTGTAAAACAGTCCATTGGCAGTTGAGAGTAAAGGCTTTCTTTAGCCATTAGCATTAAATTAGGCATCCTTCCGAGCATTATACAGCTTCTTATGTACTGTAAGAGATTTAGGGTAGGGGGGAGAAGCCATTTCTTACAAGGTTTCTTATTTTAAAAGCAACATGTAAGAGTACTGTGATAGAAGTTACATACTAATCTGCAAAGGTGAAAAAAAATCAAACATTTTGGCCATTTCTTAGTAGTTGCCATATTTATAACATCAAAAGTACTAAAGAGGAAAAAAATAAGGTCAGCTTTTGACACTACAGTTCCACCCTTAACTGGAAGTAAAAAAAAGGAATTAAAAAAAAGGGTCAGAGGATACTCATTGTGAAAACACTGCACTTGCTAAAGAACAAGCAACATCATCTAGTAAACCTCTGTCACTCAATCTATTAAGTCATAAGATGTCCAATCCAAGGGTTGTGGCCCACTTGCTCTTCTGTCCCAACATTTCCTGAGAAACATTTGTTTTGTTAAAAAAACAAGACAAAACAACAAAGAGAGGAGAATGATAAAACTTTGGGATAAATATATATGTATTTAAATTAAAATGCATTTTATTTTATTCAAAATGAATTTGAAATAGTAATTTAGGGATAAAGATTTTTAATGTAAGTGCTACTATGTCCATACTATAAATAGTATAGTATTTATAAAAAACAGCTTTTTTTTTTTCCAATCTATAAGCCCCACTAGACTGTAAGCAACATGAAGCCAGGACCATGCCTTGCTTGGTATTGTAAATCAGTATTTAGCATATGCCTGGCACAAATATAGTTGCTTCTTATAGGTATTTATTTAATGAATAGAAATAAAGAGTAGAGAATTATTAACAGTACATCTTAATAATGGTAGGTCATGAATTTTTGAAATGTCTGTTTTAATTCCTTCCAGTGCCACTGCTTGGGAGGAGATAAAAATGATGAAATACCCCATATTTTGGGGTTAGTATAATTGTAAACATTTTTTTTTTAAGGCGCAAGTTTTTGCTTATGCTGCCTATTTAAATGAATATATAAACCTCATTGGAAAAAAGAAAGGCATATGAAAAGTTTTCTATGTAGTTCCATATTATTTAAAATTCCTATTGGCTAAAAAAATACTTTCACTATAAAATTGGAGCTATCCAGAATAGCACATGATGCATTTTATGCATGCAGAATACCTGAAACACTACGATCCTCAGGGCACAAAGAAAGTCACCAAATCAAATGTTGGTATCTGAATAATGATACAACTATTCTTACCATTACAAAAACGTTAATCAGGTTATCCATACATGTGCAGTCAGATCCCCAAATATTAATTATATAAAATCTAAAGGAAAAACAGCATCTATTCTCTCAAATCCATCATAAAAAATTAAACTATGAATGCTACTTACTGATATCATTTAATTTTCAAAAAGTAGTCCCAAAATAGAGATACTCATCCCCAAAGTGATTACTTTTAAAATTTTAAGTATTTTTGAAACTTGTTACTCACCTTATACTGACTCAGAGGGTATTTTTCTAGGAAGTATTCATCACATCCACAAACTTTTAAAATATACTTGCCCTGATATTCTAAAACACAGAGTTTTAGTTGTTCAGATGATAACAACATACTTCGGGTTTTTTTCCTGATTGCTTCAGCAATTACTTGTTCTGGCACACAGTCATGATTGATTTTCAGAGTATACTTCTGCTTGTCATTATTTGGAGAAACTATTACCCAAATCACCACTATTATTTGCCCTATAATAGGAAAACATTATTAGACGCAATCACCATACATGTATTTCATTTTTCAAGAGACAAATTTAAAAAAGTACCATTATCTACCATTACTTAACCATTACTCTAACCATAACCAGAAATTACTCATAGTCAAACTTATTAAAGACAGGGAAATATCAGGTAGAAACAGCAAATCTTCAAATTTGATAGGGCTACCAGACCATGCCCAAATCTCATGCTGTATGGCAAGTATGTAAAACTGTGACTAATGGGTCCCAAGTACCTGAGACCAAGCTAATTTCCATTCTAGACTACATGACATACTTCATGAATATGATCCTTGTGAAGAGTGACTCACATGGTATCAAAAGTTCGACAGCATCTAAAGTAGAAGATTTCTTGGCAACTTTGGGAAAGTATTATGGAGACTTAAAGAAAGATGCTGCATCAGAATGAGAGAAAAGATGGGGGAAGAAAGGGTAGAAGATGACTTTTCTAAGTTTTCCTTTTAAGATCAATTAAGCCAGGAAACAAACAAACAAAAAGGATGAAAATGGAAAGAATAAAACTATGTTAGAGTGGTCTGGGTGTTCACAGTACAATTTTTTCAACTTTCCTACATGTTGGAAAATTTTCCCGAAGAATGTTGGGGAAAAATCAAAAGAACATTTCATTTTTAAAAATACGCTAGAGTAGAAAAGAATTTCAAATGAACAGCTTATGTTATATTGCATTAAACTACTTTGAATAATGTGGGATGAAACAGTAATGTCAACTTATTCTAACAGATTTTTACACTTAATAGTGTGTGAAAGTCAACCTATTCTTTAATTTTGAATCAAAACTTTCACTTTATTATCTTGAAAAAAAGTACAGATATTTTGAGATATCTCATTTCCAAAACAATATAGTTATAAATTTTCACATTCACTCAGTTCTAGAAATTGATACATTAAGTCAACCTGTATATTATCACTATGATTAGATTTAATTACTACATTTAACATTAAGAGACTTATTTTTTCTTTATATTATATATAAGAATGTACAAACTTTTCCCAAAATTTAGTCAACTGTTTCTTTTTACATTGTTTTTATTTGTAAAAAGATAATCAGATGTAATTCTGCAATAGTGAATTTCAAACTCAAGTTCTTTACTTTTATTCTGAGATAAACAATTCACCAAAATATCAGCATCATATGCACACAATTCATTCAATTAATATTTACTGTCTACAAGTTGTGTAGTTGGCACTCAACTATATCTTGTCAGTATAAGCAGTCCCTGTCTTCAAGACACTTATCATCTAGCTGGGATAAAAAGCCTGTAAAAAAATATAGGCACAGATAGATATTTTTACTATAGCAACCAATTGTGGTAAATTGACAATTTTCTTACCTTTATCTAATTTATTATATATGTGCTTTGGCAGTTCTGGTGAAGATTCTACATTTGGAGGATAGACATACATTGCTCTACTATGAGGTGAATTAAGATCTCTGAGATCCACAGCTTCTTTACAAACGTTTAGAATATTTCTTCGGAAGTCCTGTACTTCTGGATCTTTAACCATATCAAATTCACACACTGGCATGCCAATGGCAAAACCTTAAAAAAATTATATAAAGAATATAACATTCTATTAAATGGACAGGATGAACATGTTTCTTACAAATAGGGAACTTGGTTGACTTGGAAGATCACTATATAGTCAAGAAGTTTCTCTAGGCCTTAAAAAATTTCTGATGAATACAGATAGTAAGAGCTGACAAGGACTCAAGTATTTTTAATATATAAAATAAAATATTTGGATTACATATTAGCAAGTTATATTTAAATAACAATTTATGGTATTTTATTTAGCAACTTGGAGCAAAGGCAGCAGACATTATCCATACACATTTTTAAGTAATAAAGCAAAACTGGATATAACAAATCTAAGTCAACCCTACAAATAACACTTCTTAAAGAAAACTTTATATAGAATACCAAGGTGTTAAAAACAGTTCCTTAACCCAATAATCAAAAAATACTTTCAATTTGAAATGATTTTAATTTAAAAACCTATTTATTTACAATTACAAAGGTAGTTAGTTGGTTCAGACAGAAATATTTTGGTAATGACAAAATGGCTGTTTCATAGATTTGCATTTAGAACAGGATGACAATGCCAAAATCAAATCATACCAATTTCTCGATTGAGGATCTTTTCTTCACGGTTGCCTACTGGCTCAATTACTTTTAAAAAGGGTTGAAAAAGCCGAAGGTCACAAAGTCGTCTTGTTTCATCAAAAAATTCTTCCCTTTCTGCTTCTTGGGTAACACTTACGAAAATGTAAGAAGATTCATCTTGAAGAAGTTGATGGAGAGGATATTTTCTTGCTTCTTTAAATAGTTCATGCTTTATAGTTATTAATGTAGCCTCACGGAGGCATTCTAAAGTCACTATCATTCCATTTGGTAGTAAACATTCTACTAGGATTCTTGGGGGCATCAAGTGGATGCCCCACAGTTCACCTGATGATGGTCTTGGAGGCATTGTTTTGATCCTTTACAAGTTTTACATATAAAACTGCTTTAAGGAATTAGACACGTGGCTGTCCCAAAACAGAAATCTAAACCAAAGAAGGAAAATACATGTTAAGAGAGCAACAACTGTAGAAAAATACATTTATAGTATTATTAAATGTAAAAATTCATTTTCTGTAGCTTAAATTGATTATGGTTAAGTAATATTAATTCATCTTAAATATTTTGATGGAGACAAATGTCATTCCAAATTAAGCTGAAAGAACCAATTCCAAAAAGAAATTAGAAGAAACACTTGTATTTATTGATATTTAATAGAGTCATCTAATTAAAAAATATTTGAATGGGTTTCTTTTTTAAAGTCAGGTCTCATCAAGACAAAGCTGAGGATATGGGAAGAATGAGCAGTAAAACTGAACTGATACCAAAGCTGCCATCATAGATCACCTTTATCATTCCCTTCTATCTTATGGAGCAACAGAATTCAACCCTTACCTCCCCCTCCCCCCTGTGGTAATGAAAAATTACATGGCTTAGTCTTTTATTCTTTCTTAAATCGATCTTTGTAATTTTTTTATATTGATTATTGCCTGTTATTTTAAATCACTGTGCTTTTAGAGTATATATATTTACTATGGTATAAAGTGTCATCAATGCATTTTCCTTGAGATAGGATGATGAATTTGAATGATCCATCTACTTTATCAAATAACCCAGTCCCAATACTCTAATTGACATGAATTGATCTATACCTAAATGAGATCCACTGACTCTCTTTATTGGCACAATGTTCCAACCATGTTAAACACTGGTAATATTTTTTAAAATACTAAGTATTATTATGATTTAAAGCCCACATTTTTTAGATGTCAACAATCTTGGAGGTTCTTTTGAATGATACTGCCAAAACCCACAAGGCACAAGTTTATGTCTGTATTTTTTTATTCAGTAAGCTAAACTGTGAAGATACAACAAAAGGTAAAGTGAGAGATAGTAAGGAAATAAATGAAAATTAAGCTAGAGAAAAGAAAAAAAAAGATAACAGTGTATTTGGTTATTCTATCAGGCACTACGGAAAATAACTGTACATGACACTTTGTTGATTCACCAAAAATGTACTGGTGTTGTCCCTAGGACCATGTTAGATGTTGGGAAAATGATGATGATGATGACATGCATGGCCCTTACCTTCTCACAAGACAAAGTCAAGAGTGTGAAGATTATGTGTATGCTGTGTAGGGTAATTAAATTCAGAGACCCAAAACAGTAAAAAAATGCTCTCATGGAGAAAAGTCGGGTACTATAAAAGCAAAAAGAACGGCAACCTAATTAAATGGACGTTGGAGTGGGAAGGTTCCCACAGGAGGTAACATATAAACCGAATTATTTAATGACAAACAGGAGTTGAGCAAACACAGTAAGAAAGAGGTGTGGAGCATGATGCATCTAATCCAGCAACCTGCTGTGCCTGCCTGCCTCTAAGTCATATCCATTAACATCTAATCCATCAACAAACTTTATTAATTCTACCTCCTGAAACTGTCTATACTCCTTTACTATCACTCTTAACTCCCTTGGTTCAAACCAACCATTTTTAGTCTAGCCTACTGCAAAAGCACCAATGATCTTCCTGCATCCAGGTTTGCCCACACAATCAACCTTTTTACCTCACAGCCAATGTGACCTAGAGAGAGCAACAGGGCCTTTTTAGAGCAGACAGTGACAAAAAATTTTTGCTGTCTCAGTTGCTGTTTATGGTACGTTTCAGAGTTGTATGTAACATACAAAGGAGGTAAAGGGTAGAAATGGCAGAAATTTCAAGCCCTCCCCCCACCTCTGAAATATAGAAATCCAATGGAGGACAGTAAAGAATATAAAATTATTTTTTAATAGTTGAAAATATTTTTCTTCAAATTTATGAGAGACTCACTGAAGTTACAGGTTTTAAAATATAACTGTTCTACTTCCTATACTTTCAAAAGAAAATTCACTGGCTAGTAGTAAAAAGACCAGATGCACCAATTTGGGTGCATAATTATAGAAAAACATAAGTTAAGCTTTTTAAAACATACAAAACAATTTGAAGAATGCAAAGGAAAATACCAAACGACTACTTTTAAATGATTATCTGCCTGCATAAAAGAGTTCAAATAAAAACAAAATGAAACCACAAACCAAAAACCACACCAAAACAGCAGCTGTTGTTTACAGTTTTCTTTGTTGAATGACGCTAACAGGTCTATGTTATGGAATCATGGTGGCATCTATTTTACGTAATAAATAACCCACAGAGTATATCATATGTTCTCTAAGAATTGGCAAACAAGAAGTCTAGTACAGTAGGTACATCACTAATTCTAATCCTTATTCTACTATAATATATTTATGGGCAATTAACAACTATTAAATACTTAAGACACACCCTTTTCATTAAGAGAATAAATGTGATCATAGCCATAAAACACTTGGAGACAGGCACTAAGCAGAAGAGAGAGGATGCTAACTTTCTTATTTGTCTTATGCAGGTCTTTTTCTGTACAAACCAATACTTCAGAGCTCTTATGAACAAAAGTGTAGAAGAGGTGAAATGGAGCTGACATTTACTATTTAGTATATGCCATGCACTTGGGCAGGCTGTGACCCTTCTCTGGCAGGTATTACCATTTTATATTTGAAGAAACTGAAAGTCTGAGAAATGAAGTTACTTGCACAAGTAAATGTTAGATATGGATTTTGAATCCAGATCAAGATGACTTCAAAGAGCATACTGCTCTTTGAGCTTCAGTTACAGCCAGGTAATTTTGGTGGTAAAATAAGAGAATGAGCTCTGCAGTTACACTGGATTCAATTCTGACTGCCTTAGTAAGTAGTTTGGTGGCCTTAAGCAGTTTAATTCATCTCAGTGAACCTCATTTTCTCTTTCACTTGTTGAACTGGATAACAGCATATACTTTATCCGATTATTGTAGTAGGTGAGGTAATATTTGAAAAACACAAGTAAAGAGATTAGCACACAGTAAACACTCAACAAATGTTAAATATTATTAATAAACCTATAAAATCTACCCACATTATCTTTCCAAGTTATTATGAATTATCCAGGACTGGCCAGATAGGGATGGGGAAAGGTTTGGTTCTTTCACAGAGAGAGAGGCAAGTAAATACGAAGCTTCATAAAGCAGTGTCAGTTTCGAGAGTTGAGCTGTTAAGGGAGCATGGATAATGCAAGGATCACAGACAAGACTGGTAGGGTATGGAGTGCCTCAGATGCTGGTACTTTCACAGCTGCCTCTAGTTCCCCCGTCTCTTAATATTCCTATTAAATGGCACCACTATCAATAGCTTAGGTGTGAGGAATCCCTTCCTAGCCTTAACCACCCTGTTTTTTGGGGAGAAATACCTGCTTGTGCTAGGCTTTAGGTAAAATATGCTATGAAAACAAAAAAGTCAGACACTTTCCCTTCAGTTATTAAGGGACTCGTGATTTATTGGGGAAAGAAAGACATAATAACTTTAACTACAAAGAACTGTTGTAAGATAAAATGAACTTTGGAATCCAAAGTCATAGGAAATCTCCACCAGCCTGGCGATGTTAGGCAAGGCATCAGAGAGATAAAACTGAAATAGAGTATTATAGATCAGTAGGGATTTTAAAGAGAAGGGGTGGCTTGAACATGGGCGAGCTAGATGAGGAGGGCGTTTTAGACTGCCAAAAGTGTACCTGTGCCAAGTCAGACCACGAAAGAATGCAGCCTGTTACCGGCAATACAAATTGTTCTTTATTATTTTGAGTCTGAAGTACATGGGAATAAGTACAGTGGTGACAAGGAAGGAGGGGTGAGAGGTGGGTAGAGGCCAGAAAGGTGGGGAGACTCCATATTAAGGAGTTTGAATTTTACATAGTAAACTATAAGGAAAAGGGAATCTCTTAAGTATTGGAAGCAAAAGAATATCATTTTTTCATGATTTTTAAAATTCAGATTTCTTTAAAAATTTGCTTTTCAAATACAGGATGTAATCAAATAAACATTAAACCAAGGTGTAAAAATGATATTCTCTCAATTCCCCTAGTTTAGAGGAAAATCCCTAAAGAAATCAGGGTATATAATGTTTTAACTAAAAGGGCCTTTACACTATAGAAAAAATTAAAAGTTGATAAAGAAGGTGGAATTAGCCAAACTTAAGTGCATAATCTATTTATAAAGAAAAAGAACTTATTTGAAAAATACCAGAGGGGGATAAATTACTACAAAAATTAACATGAACCTGCAGTTTGGTGGTTTGAGGTCATAAAAATGTATTTGCTAAAATTAAAACACTTTAAGAGCAAGGAACTACTCTTATTAGACTTTTGAGTTCATAATGCCAGGATTAAATATTTACCTACTGGCAATCAACTCTTCAGAACTTTTAGGAAATAAATTAGTATTGTTTATCCTAATTTTGTATATATTTAATGATGTTTTCTTCATTTTGGTGGTCCTGTTTTCCTGAGTATATATAATTCACTATCTACCCATTTCTTGATGAATTACAGTCCTCATTATAAAACCAATTATTGTGCTAAAACACAATATAGCAAAGCTCTTCAGTACTGTTGAGTCTAAGGGTGTTTTTGGCTCTAAAACCAATGATCCCAGGTTGGAGATGGTGCTTTTTAAAATGCTCCACTTCCCTTATTTTCTAGCAGTCAGTGGTCACTTCTCAGTTGTGGCCAGTCTGCTTGATGTTCATCACCTCCTCTTCGGTTACTCATTTTTAGTCAGCACCAACACTTGACTGCCATTTAATATGGTTTGTAAACTAAACGCCAACAGACCAAATGATGATAAAAGAACCTCTGCTATATGAGCTTAGGAGCACAAAATACATTAACAGATACCTTGTGGATCAGAGATTTTTGTTTACTTCTTGTTCTGGTGTTAAAATTACTGTTAAAAATCACTGTTTGGGCAGAAGGCACTGAAAATTTTTTGATTCTTACAAGGCCTGAAACTGCATTTATTTCTTGAGTAAGAGTCAGGTCTGTATTAGCAGTCCAAGTGGAGTGTATGACATTGCCCAGCAGAAATAAAGAGCACCATAA